GCCTGTCCCTCCGCCCGGGCCTCTCTCGGGCGTGTGTGGCGACCGCCGCTCGGGAACGCAGGAGGGGGAACGACGAGGAGGAGGGGGCGCGCCTTGAGGAGGCCTCTCCGTGAATAAAGGCTTTGCGGGGGGGAGGGCGGGGAGCGGCCCAGCCGTGCCCGCTGCTTTGGCTGAAAACGTCGCCGACTGCGGCCTCGGTGACGGGCGGGGGGCCCGCCGCCCGCCCTGTCAGGCTCAGCGTATCAGCGTGTCTCCCCTTTTTCCGTGCCGCTCACGGTCTCACAGATTCCCACCGTCAGTCATTCCAGGGGTCTCTGCTTCCAGAGATGAAGTTCATCAGTCTGTGCTGTTGTTCCTGTGAAGGCAGGAACTGTGATCAGCCTCGTGTCCTCCCTATGTGCGGTTTCCCGTTCTGCTTTCACACTTTGAAATGTTATTTATAAATTTGAGGATCAGATTCAACATAAAGTTCAGTTTTTTCCTCTTTAAGTATTACTTGCTCCTGAATAGTCATCTCAGATGCCTATATTGGTCCCAAAATACCATGCTAGGATTGTATTTGCTTCTGTACTGATAAATACGAAGTGTTAAATTGAGTTTCATTTGTCCTTAGCCTACTTGAATGGGTTTAAAATGCTTTTGTCTGTTTTCTGGGCTTTGGGAAAGTTAATTGTCCTAGGCCTGACGGGAAGGCCTTTCCATGTCCAAACCTACAGCAATCTCTGGAGAGATCCAGTAGCACTCATCACCACACCAGTTTGCATTACTGCTTTGTGAGGAAAGCATAGTATGGCTTATTTATTTGCTAGGGCAGCAGATTCTTATTTTCAGGATCTCGTCCCTAGTCAGGCAGGTTTAGCTTACATTGATTCTGCTGGAACGCTTAAACTTGCTATCCGATGGGGAATGTTTTTGGATGATCATATTTATTTTGATCTCATTCTTTAGGATCCTTCCGGTGATCCATCGCAACAGGAAGCAAAACAGAGGTATAAATGAGAACTACTGGCTTTTGGTCTTACATCTAATTGTTTTGAACCATTTGCTTTTTATATTTTTATGAGTATTCAATTTCTTTGGAATACTCACCTGATTTTTTTGTTGTTGTTGGAAAAACCATTAACAAAGAAGCTAAAATGTCAAAGAGTTAATGCAAGCATAGCTAAAATCTGATTGATCCAAGCATGACTCCCAAGCCATGACTATGTTGGATGATCTACAACGGGCAGTCTGAACCCTGACTGGGGCTGGAGGGTGTGGAGGAAAACAGCAGTAGCAGCTCATTTTCACTTTGGGACTCGGCTGAGGGCAATAATCTCATGACCTTTAGTGATATAATAGGATGTTTTGGGGAAGCATCATCACTCCCACTGTCATCTGCTTCTGGAACTCAGAAACCTTGGCTTTTCAGGGTTGGTCATAAGAAAATTCTGAACGCTGGCAGAGCTCTTCCCAAACTAGAGTTTTGTCTGAGCGATGAGTTTGGGTTTGGCTCTGTTAGTGCAATGGGAACGTGCGTTCCTAGTCAGTTTGATTTTTCTGGGACATCTGTTGCTGTTAAAAATACAAAACAAAACGATTCATGTCAGAGCTTCGTGCGGAAACAGCATTTAGTATTTGCACCAAGTAGAAAATTGAAAACAAGCGTTTAAAGAGCTAGGCTTTGCACACAGTCAGAGTTTGTATTAACTGAAGTGCATAAACTAAAATGCCAGTTTTGCAAATACTTAGTCAAATGCTGTAAGTATATGAAGACTTATTGAAAAATTCTAAATAAATAATGAGGTTTGTTCTGTATTGCAATTGCATGGACTATTCCTTATGCCTGCTCTACCATACACTTGCCTTTGGTGAAATTCCACATGGAACTGAATGCGTAATCTTTACAGTGGGTAGCATGGCTTTTAAGATGTATTACTAAACAGTAATAAGGTGTAAGCAGTAAACTCCATCCTGATTTCTTGGGTTTCTTTGTTGTCAGCTGTGTAACTTTGTCAACGTACATAGAGCTACTCATGACAGAAAATGCTATAAGAGAAATTGTGTAAATGTAAGGTTTGAAGTGACCTCAAGAAGTCACTCACATGAATCAAAGTCTTCTACAGTTTGCTGGTTTGTGCATATTATTTTAGGTATTTGAAATCCCATTTTTAATGTGGGGCTTATTTTTCATTACAGGGAAGCAGAGATAAGAAATACTATTTTAGCTCAAGTTCTTGATCAAGCAGCTCGTGCAAGATGTAAGTATCCAAGTAACTTTCTAATAAAAAAATTCTCATCTAGTGCACTCCAGTGCTGCTCAAATCAAGCACGTATGTGCTTGTGTAGAGACCAGACTAGAAAAATACTGTTGTTGATTGGAAGATAAAACTATTACAGCTTTTCAGTTGGTGGTGTCAGTGATTGGAGGAGAGGGGTTAACTGACATCTGAATGACGTTAGTTAATCAAAATATATTTTTTTTAATTAATAGTAGGAATTGTAGTGAGTCAAAATTGGTTAATCTAATTAAGACCAAATACTTAAAAGTAAGAAATATGACTATTTTGTATCTTTATTTTACATACATGAAAATGCCTTTTTCAATTTATTTCATGACCCTGGCATAAAGACAACAGTTTCATAGGGACATTTGTCACTTTTTAGTTACTAGTGAAGGTATCTGAGTATGGTTTAAAACAAAATGAACAGAGCCTGTTTTTGTTGCAGTAAGCAATTTAGCACTTGTGAAACCAGACAAAGCAAAGGCAGTAGAGAATTATCTTATACAGATGGCAAGATTTGGACAGCTAGCTGGAAAGGTGAGTTACGTTTTCCTAATTCTTTGTCGCATATATTCATTTTCAAACCTAATTCACTCTAATAAAAATGGATGTTTTTAATGTCAGTTAAATAATCAAAAAAGGCAATTGAGAGCTTCTAAATAGTATTATATAATTCCATCAAACACGTTTTATAAGAAGGGAAAATGTGATTCCGTTTTTTGATACTATGCATCTCGCTGAATGTGTTTATGCAGCTTTTCTTTTGCATTCCTAGGTATCAGAACAGGGTTTGATAGAAATACTTGAAAAAGTGAGTCAGCAGACAGAAAAGAAAACAACAGTAAAGGTAAGCTCAGTTTCCTAAATGTAAATTTAATTTGTTATTAAACAGAGCAGAAAAATTGCACGTATCAGACCATTTCAGTTCAGGGTAGAACTTAACTTTGTATTTAACACCTCGTTAACCTGCCCTGGTAAATGCTGGGATTAATCATAGCAGTCCTTATCGATAGTAAAATTTGCAGATGCTGTCACTGGGATATTAGTGTTCTGCTGTGAGCAAGACTACCCTGTGTCTGCCCTATACCATTAGGGGGGGGGTGATGGGGTGAACACGCGGCTCCCGTGTAATGTATTCATTGTCAAGTGCATGGAGTTTGAAAGGCTTGCTGTGTTTAATTTACTGTGACCCTTCTGTATTCATGTCATGTATTTCATTGTAGTTCAACAGAAGGAAAGTATTGGATTCTGATGAAGAGGATGATTATTAATACTACTGTAAGACTGGCTGCCAAACAAAAGGCCTGGAAAAAGGCAACACACTGTCATCAGTCAGAACGCAAGATCTGAAAATGTTTACGCTTCTTTACTTTTTTTTAATATATAAAAAGGCAAACAAATGAACTTGTAAAATAAATCTGAGAAGGGGATTTTATAACTTAAATTTTTGTAGTATAAGAGGCTGAGCAGTGGGATTCCCCCTGCTTCATTAGCATGAACATTTTGTTGCCCCTTACTCGGTGTGTAAGCTATGCTTTCAGTAACTGCACACACTTAACTTGCTGCTATTGGAGATACCGTAACAGGAGGAGGAGTTAAGTGTAAAGCTGGCAACAGCCACTCTCTCCAGGAGTTTAAAGACTTAACTCCAGGCTGTAAATCACAGAAGTGTTAGGAACCAGATTTCTTGGGTGCCTGAAGGAAGCCTGTCCAGCAGCTCACTGGCTCTCAAGTCCTTACTGGAAATTTTTAAAATAAAGGGAAAGTATCAAAGTAGTGTTTGGATCAGAGGACTTCATGTCAGGCGGTCTGTGTAAAGCAACTGTAACCAGCATACAATTGAACTCTTCCCCTATGAAATAATCAACCTATCTCAAAACAAGCAAGTTAACTGTGTAATACAGCACTGTTCAAACACTTGGTATCGTATGTTCTTAAAACTACCTCCATTTTTATCAAATGGCTGGAGTGTTTCTTACCTTGAAAAAAAGACCATTTTCCTAAACTTTTCTGCAACTCCTGCATGCATAAAGTAAAACTGAACTTGTGCTATACATTTATTCAAAAGTATGGTTATGGAAATTAGTAGGATAAATACTGTAACATGCTGATAAACACTCTACCATCACAAAACCCTTTTCTGACATAACTTAACAGGAACGAGTATGATCCCAACTGCAGTGTTTTTTGGAACAGAATAAAATTGTTTAAAGTGAGCACTAGTGGGTGTTTTTCATCTTGTGTGAATGTGGTTAAAAAGTATTTAAACAGTTCTGATTTTTGTTTCATTTGGACTAGACTGGGCATTTTGCTTGTCCACGTCTGTAATTAGAATTCCTTAACTTTAGTAATATTGTGGGTGTGTACTAAATTTCTTTAAACTAATGACCCTTTACCAGCATGAAGAGTTTCAAGCCAAGGTGTGGTGATAGGTAGTTTAAAAATTTTCCCGTTCGGGCTACAGATACATCCTAAGCATCCATGCTTCATATTCCCATTCCTAAGTTTATGATACTCTACTTAGAACAACATAAGCTTTATTGCCTTGCTGTTCCAGAATCTCGGCTGTCAAAATGTGCAGTAATGCTTTGAATTTAGTTTACCTTACAACCTTTTGGAGATTAGACTGGAGAGTACAGTAACATGCTTTGCAGACAAATCGCAAGTGTCAGAAAGGTGACTTCAGCCTATTCGCACTACGGGTTGCTAAGAGAAGCTTCCAGTTCTCTTCAAATCCTATTCCAGTTTAGCCTATCTTTGAATATTAAGGTATTTTTTAATGACAAGCTTGCTTAAGCATGTTGAAGGAAACTCACAGATTATTTAATTTGCCTAAATAGTTTGTTAGTTGTAATCTTGCTTTCATTTAGATTCTAGTGGAACTGTCTGGCATTTAAGTGCTGGGTTTTTTTATATACATACACTATGCATCCAAAACTCCTGGAAATAAGCTTTATCCTAGGCTGAACGCTGAATAAAACTGAAGCGTGGCTTGGTCACTTAAATAGCCTCAGGTTCACAAAGACAACTGTTCTGTAACAGAATAGAAAACTCAGGTTAATTCTAATAAATTTGTACTTTTTCTATAAAACTCTAAAGACTATAAAACTCCAAACTTTTCTATAAAACTCCAAAGCTATTCAACCACACTATGCTTATTATTAAGGATTAAGAAAAAAGACTTGATGCTGAACTTGGTGTCATTGTCCTAACTCCTGTTCACTAGTTACAGCAGTATATTCTGTACTTGCACTCTGCAGCGTAGTATCACTGGTATTAAAAAGCTAATAAACTGATTTTTGTCATCCATTTTGCCAAGAAGTCTTAAGATAAGAATCATATAGTTAGAATGTGTAGTATAATAAAACACAAGCAAAATTTTCAGTATGTAGTTTGGAAATTGGATCTGTGAAAGTTTACTTGTGTCTTAAACTTTCTAAGTAATACGTAGGTTATTTTTGCTACAAGTAAGGATAAGTGACTTGCTCCAGGGTCATCTTCACAGTGTCAAAAGAAAAAAACCTAGTTCATATCTCTTTCCTCTTGGTCTTTTGGCTTGTAATAGCTGAACATCCATCCTACCTCTTTTTTTTTTTTTTTTAATGGAAATATAGAGCTAGAGAAGGAAGTTATGGGAAAATACTCAGTTTCACTAATGACTCTATATCGTACACCTCTATGCCTTAAATCCAAAACCACGTAAGCTAATAATAGTAAACGAGTGTAGGAGGGAAGAAGGTGAAATGAAAGTTAATTCCAACAGATCCCTCAATTTGCACATAGACACCAGGTGGAATCTTCAAACGTCTACAAAAATAAAAGCAAGGAAATCTGCATAAAAGACTCCATGCTTTTAAAAAAACACTCGAAGAAAACAACATTTTCAAGAGTTATTTTACTAGTTTTTTCTTTCCATCATTTGGCACAAATCCAAGGCACATTAGAAAATCAGATGAACTCATAAATTATTAGAAAAATAAACACACGACCCTCATCTCTAAATGTCCCTATGTGCACTTCCTGCACATTTTACCTCTTAGATTAAAAAGTTATTTGAAAAAATCACACCACCAGTATGTCTTCCAGCTTTGTACTTTGCCAAGCAGTTTACTAATACCACAGTTAAAAGAAACAGAATTATTCATACAAATAGTTCATGAAATAAAGTGCAAGCTGGATGTCATGAGCCCAGAATAAAAAATACTGCACTTCGAAACCTGGCTTGTGCTATTCACACATTCTCCTACCGTAACCAAAACAGAAACTGAAGTCCAAATCTAATCAGCCATCTCATAGTTACTTGTGAGCTTTCAGTTCTTCAGTGATCACCTCTAGGAATGAGGTAGTATTTGGCCTATTCCAACGAATCCTTACCGATGTGAGAAGTACCTTTCATAACTGGAATTCCACCTTTCTCAAGAGCAGTCCGGAGCACGTTCCTAAGCAGCAGTTTTGTCTGCAGATGTTGCCCGGGTTCAGAATCATGAATATTTGTGTGTTTTTGCATGACTTGCTTTAGAGGAAGGACAAAAAAAAACCAAAACAACTCAAAACAATTTTGTGTGTCCTCATACATGCTTGCTTCTGCATATTTTTTTTTTATTAGGCTGTGAACAGTGAGTCCAAAGTTTAGCTTTGTCAAGGGCTCTCTTTTTCTCACTTTTTCCCACTATCTTGGCTCCTTCATAAGAACCTAATCTTGCAGATCCAATGCAGGGGACCATTGCAAAGACATCAGCAAGGATTACATCCCTTCACATTAATAGCATGTATAAATTTCTAATGTGGCATCATAGATGTTATAGACAATTGTTTTCCCAGCTACTGAAATATACAGAAATATATACTGTAACGGTTTGTAACATTACAATAAAAATAGAGACATTTCAATTACCTCTGGCAATAAATACCTTGTTATCCAATATATCTTTATATATATAAATATATATATATTTATATATACTTATACCAATGTAGTGATAAAAACTGAAAATGCAAAAATTATTCAAAGACTTTTAAAAACAAAGCGGGTATCTGAAAAATACAATACAGGGTTTGGGTTGGGTTGGTTTACTGTTACATATAATTTTTTAGTAAGTGCTAAGTAGAATAGGAAAGTAATTTTGCTGTCTACATCTCGGCACATCCCTGTTTGTTGAGATCAGTAATAACCTGGCTGCATAGTTTCCTCCAACATAAACAGAGGATTCAGTCTTCAAAAGTGCTAGGAACATTCTGTTTTTGCTGAAGAGTCATCCTTGTATGCTGTTTGAGGGCAGGCTGGCAAGCATCACTGAATTCTTCCATACACAGTGAAGGGTTCTTGACATTAACACCACCTAGTTCCTCAGCTTTTGACATCAAATTCACACTTCCTTGTCACTGTTTTGAAAGCAAGTCATCACAGCAGTCTCTTGATTGTGAAATACTTGGATTTCTAGGGCTGGATAAACTATTATTGCTGACATTCTCTTCTGAAAGCGGCACGTTAACAGTGTGTCTTCGGTGCATTAATTTACTCCTGTGAGGAACTTCTATCGTGTCACCACGTTTCACAAACTCACCACTGCATCCTGTGTCGATAATCTTAACTTTGCTCTGGTCCAGCGTTTCAACAGATTTCAACTTGGTTTTATCAAAGCTTTTAATAGCTAACTGTGAGGACAGAAAAATGGCACATTAAAAGCATTGTCTACTTTCTTCATTACAAAGAAGTAGGATGAATATAGTGTTTCCTGAATATAATTATCACAATAATTTCATGGTATTCTTTATACTGAGAACACAGCCAAGGATTAAAAATAGCGTACTTTGTAGGACAGTAATTCTATTTGGTCTACAAATGAGAAAACAAGAAGAGGTCAACCTGTCCCGGGCAACACACACAAATCAGTACCAGAACTGAAAAGATAACGAAGGCATTCGCATTCCAAAACTTATTTTCACTGCACTGTCCCAACATCATCCTAAGTCTTCTAAACACCTTTTGTAATGCAAGGCTCGGGGTACTTGAACAGCCATCTCTTTCACCATTAAGAAATGCGTAAGCAGTAATACAGACAGCTCAACCAGGCACTGCTGAAGGCAAAGGCAAAAACTCCCCGCTTCCAGACCTCATCTGTCAGGGAAGAGACACCCACCCTTCCCACACCCCTTAAAGAGTCTTTTTGGTCATTCCAGCTATTCTCTTCCATTTCTGTATCTACCCCTGATTGTTCCTTTTCAGAGTGGGTGGATGTCCTTGATTACTGGCCCCTCTGCAAATGTTAACATAACTAAGAGAAAGAAGAGAATCCAAACATGCTCGTGACAGATCTTCGAAGGTAAGAACTAAAGGCAGAAACTAATTATGATACCCTTTTATCCTTCAATGGCAACAATCTTGAAAAAGCTTCAGATGGAGATTATACATGTTTAAACCTGCTAACAATTTAGAGCTGTATGACTTGTAAATTCACAAAGCCATGACAGTCGCACATGGTTAAAGTGCTATATATCATGGTCACATACTAGTTTTTTGACACCTGCTGTACTTGCCTGACATACTGCCTTCAGCAATCTATTATAAAATCTAAATCCTATGTTATATAGCATTGATTTGGCATTCTCAT